GCTGCCTCTCGCAGACTGTCGATGCTAGTATGTTCTTACTTTCTTACACCGTCTTTGGTGCTCTTAAAAATTATACTAGCACCATCAAACATTTATGCAGGTGTAGAACTCGTATTTCCTCTAGATCTAACTGTGTAGTTAAACTGATCTAGATGAAATCTCTTTCATTGTCCTAGTAATCTGGATCTCTTAGCATTATACTTGCTTCATCCAGATCTTTTTACCTTCATAATTCTCAAACAACATGGTTTTTCATAATATTGACATCACGAGTCTTTGTACCAAAGATCGAAGTGTCATTCATAATGCAAGTGTCATTCTCAAATTTGTACTAAATGCACTTGTCACTTTCATTTTAAAACCATGAGAGAGAACTCGATTGTTCATGCCACTGTTTGTGAGTCTATTTCAAATCCTACAATGATTTGTCTAACTATAGACTCCATAAGCATGTTCAGGAATAACAACCCTATATGTTATCCCATGAAGATTTCTCATTTCTCTATCTAAATCACCATTCACAAAATAGGTTTAACATCCATCTGATGCACGGCAAGAGCAATCATATCATACATGGATGTTACTCTACATATTAGTGAGTAGATATCAAAGAAATCTACAATTTTTCCTCTTCGCTTAAATCTTTAGCTATTAAGCGATCTGTATACTCATAAACTAAACCATCAGGTTTCAGTTTTCTTTTAAGAATTCACTTATTACCCAAGACTTCATTGCCAAGAGGTAATTCTCAAAGATGTCAAATCTTGTTCGATTCTATCGATATATTACCCAAGGTTTTTCAACCAAGAGGTAACTCTACAAGATTTTAAGTCTTATTAGACTCCAATAATTCCATTTCGTTAATAATGGATTCTCCCACAATTCTGCATCTTTATGGAAGTTCAAACTTCTAGCAGACTTGTAGGATCTTTCTTTCTTAGGGTGTAAATAACAAATTCATAACCAAAAACCTTAAGAGATTTCAGGTTCATTTGCTTCTTCTGAGTTTAAACTCAGATTTATTACCCCCACTAGTTCCATTATTCCTAATAGTAGGCAGGACACTACCCCCACTATTTCTTGATTTAAAATGGAAGTTTCTTGGCATCAATGGTTTTCACAAACTAATGAGTATTTCGTTTCATAGGCTTATGTGTTTTACAATAACTTACAAACTCATATGCTCTTCTAGTTATCATGTCACTGATTCTCTAATGCTACAACATGCATGTCACATATCGAATAATCGGTGCAATCATAATGCAACTAGGCATTTCAAACTATTTCGAATAACTAGTTAGACAACCAGAGCACTCTAAAGAGCAATAAATCATTTATTTTCTTTTCCATCAAGTTTACCCACATAAATAAGATATATTTATTCTGATTCTCTAATCACATATTTATGGGTCATTTAGCTTGGATATACAAAATTCATATTTTCTCAAGTTTCCAATAATAATATGGGAATGTGATATAAGATAGTCTAATTCTCCACACCGACACGCTTGGAAAAAATTTATCTTATCTACTTAACCATTCATGACATCTAGGATAGTCAATGACTTTCTAGAGGTAGGGTTCTCTTCCACTTTCTCATAACCATTAGCAATAGTGGTGAGGGTCTTGCCCAATAAAACTTTCTCCTTCAATATGCCTTAATGCATGATTGAGCTTAGCTAATTTATCAGATGCATGCCTTGATATGCGTCAATATCCAACCACCATTTTTTTCAGAATTGCCATTAAGGCCTATCACCCCATTAGTGATTATTACCACCAAATCCTCTTATTTAGTCAAGTTAACACTAGGTTAAACTTGTTCTTACACTTTCGTGTCTTATGACCTAGTTTCTCACAAATTTAACAGAGAAACATAGCGTCATTCTTAGAGGATTGGGTGACAATCTTATGGTTACCACAAAGGGTACCATTCTATTTGGTATGTATCTTGTTCGGCTTGCTGCTCTCATTCTTGAAACTTTAATGTTTCATAGCAGCCTAAGTGGTTCGTATAGTACTAATAATAGTACTTCTTACAATATCGTTATTATGGGCAATAAACCCATTCTATTCCATATATTCTTCATATACACTCATGTAAACAAAATTACTCTATTCCATAACATGCATTCAAATTTAAGCTCTAATCATTGAGAAAAACACATCTCAATGTCAACATAATCATGCATCAATACTCAATCTCTCTAGCATTCTCAAGATATCTCAATTGCATGCATAATATATGAAATAGATTCTACTTTTATCATTCATCAATATGACTCTTGAGGAAGGTTTCAACTCTTACCTCATTTCAGAGAAGACATTCCTTCGATGCTACAACCTTGTGTCCTCCTTGCATTATGGCGTTCGGTCATCGCTCTTATGACAACATCCGCTTCTCTTAGGAGTTTCCAAGGCTTGACCTATGCCCCCCAATCTTTGCTCCATAGGGGTTACTACAAGCTCTCGATCAATTATATCATGAATATAATTCATATTCTTCCTGGTAAGCTTTTTAACATTTTCCCATAAACGTTGTTATCCCTCAATCAAAAAATAAAAGGGTAAATCCTAATCACAAATGTTAAACAGGAAAAATAGAACCAGCAAAATTATTGATTTTCATCACGAGCTGGAAACCACAGAGGACCCTATTCTTCCTTGGGACTAGTGACCCAACGACTTTTGCTTGTGGGTTTTGGACAAAGCAATTCATTGGACCCACTGTCCATCAATGAAATCAGTTGGGTTTGTGATTTCATGGCCAAGCAATTCTTTTCTCCCTTGATTTCATGGCCAAAGTAATTATCTGCTCCCATTATGCTTTGCGTCACTCATGGTAGTGATATGCAACAATGCCTGCAACAGCTAACAGACAAAATCCAGGCATATATATATATATATATGGTGCCTTCTACGGTACCCCGAGTGAAATCCGGGGTACCGCATACCTTGAGTATGGAAACGATATATAGACCTCGAATTAGCATGATTTGTGGGTCTGATACTATACCCTAACCCTTAATGAGTGAACCCTAGGTCCTAATTATCCAAATCATAATCTATAAACCCTAAGATGGTGCATTCCTTTTTGTGCCTATATTTGGACGAATCATAACCGTCGATTATTGTTTCTAATTAAATTGATATTGGAGTATAAGATTGGGAAAATTAAGACCTAGATTTAAATCTTTAAGGGCTAGAGTATAGTATCATGTCCAAAAGATCGGTCAATTCAAGGTCTAGATAGTGTTTCATACTTAAGGTATGCGATACCCCAGATTTTACTCTATGGTACCCAGGGTGAAATCCGGGGTATCGCATACCTTGAGTAAGAAAACGCTATCCAGAACTTGAATTGACTGATCTTTCGGACATGATACTATACTCTAACCCTTAAAGATTAAAATCTAGGTCTTAGTTCTCTAAATCTTATACCCCAAGATCAATTTAATTAGAATTAATAATCGACGGCCATGATTCGTCCAAATATAGGCAAAAAAATCCATGCACCATCTTAGGCTTTATAGTTTATGATTTTGATAATTAGGACCTAGGGTTCACTCATTAAGGGTTAGGGTATAGTATCGTGCCCAAAAATCCTGCTAATTCAAGATCTAGATAGCGTTTTCATACTCAAGGTATGCGATACCCCGGATTTCACTCGGGGTACCGTAGAAGGCAACATATATATATATATATATATATATATATATATATATATATATATATATATATATATATATATATATATATATATATATTTTTTATTGACATATATCTGTTTCATCTCTGTCGTGAAATTTCCCAGCCGCATTCTCTTTGCTACCCCGATGCAAAGACAATAAGAAACCACCTGGCCGACCTCGTTGTTCGATATTATCCACCGCTACGAAGAAACCCAGCAAGCCAACAAGCCTTCTCTTATCCTGAGTTTCTTTGGTTGCAGCAGCTGAGGCTTGTGTCGCGCGCCACGGTTGGGGTTTGAAGCCAAATACGATAATTAAATCCAATCTGTTCGGTACATATCACAGCAACCAAACGTCTTAAATTGTTAGAAACCGAACAGAAAAATTAGTGTTACCGATCTGGCTGAGTCGTGGACTAGGTCGCTCTCTTTAAGACGTTCGCGGCACTGCCTCGTATTGCGCACAGCAGACTATCAGCCGGTCACCTCCAGGATAAAACAGCCATTCTGATTTGTTGTTCATCGGTTTTGTGCGAAAAACCGGAGCTCTATAAATTCACTCTCTCTCGTGTTTCTGCTCTTCTGAGGTATGTTTAGAGGGTCTGGGGCGTCTCCTATTTATAGGAGCAGAAAACCCAGAATATTCCCTCTTTCTTTGGGAATAAGTCATATTTTAATTAGGGAGATAATTACTCTCATAATTAAAATATAATATATTTAGATAATTATTCCTAATTATCTCCATAATATTCCTTTTATTAATTATCCATCTTATTTATGTATTATGGGAAAATACTGGATAATTAATTAGGAATTTCATTTATAGCTTTTCAAAGCTATTCATCCCAACAAATAATGATTTGGTCGAGAAGAAATTACTAACTGAGTAGTCCGGTTTTTTACGGACTATCGTGTGGTTAGAATTGGTCTTGTAATTGTTTATGTTTGGTTACTGCCTTCTTTGCATATCTTTGACGAAAAGAAATTTACTGGCTGGGAGAGGAGTAACAGAGAAAAAGATTGGACGGAGGGAGTAATCATATTCCCGGTGAGCCGGGACTCATATATGGTGCGCAGCGGAGGAAGAAAAGAAGTTTAGGGTTTTTTTATTAGGTTTTTGAACTAGGTTCTTATATGATGATAGACAGAATTTTGTAGCATTTTGCAGGCCGGGATTTTGTACAGTCCCATATATTATTATTATTATTATTATTATTATTTCTACTATAAACAGGACTGAGTACGTAGGAGTTCCAGATTACACAGTTAATTCATAACAACCAAATAAAAAGTAGCGATCGAATTGATAATGTCGCGCTTCGTGTTGGACTCTAACAACCTGTGGTTGGTCGGCAACTCCGAAGGCACGATCGCCGTCCTCGACGGCTCGGAAGTGGCCGACCTTAACCCCAAAGACGTGACCGGCGACGTCAGCCACTGGCAGAAAATGGCTCAAATCGGGACCAACTCGGCGTCCACCCACCAGGAGCTGGAAGTGTTCGGCGTCGTGCTCAGCGGCCAGAAGCTGGAGGAGCTGAGGAAGAACACCTACGACGAACAAGTCACCGTCACCAGAGAAGGGTTCATGATCCAGTGGCTCAACCCCAGTGGCGGCGATAAGGCACCGGGAAGCTGATGGTGGAGGGCTCGGGTTTGGTCAACCTGGCGAAAGTCATAGAGGAGCTGGAGTTGGAGAACCAGACGTTGCGGGATTAGAAGGACTTGGACATCAGGGAGTTGAACAAGAAGCTGGTCGAGGGGAAAGGTGGTGGTGATAAGAAAATGAAAGTGAGAAATCGAACACAGGATTTTACGTGGTATCCCTGATAATCAAGACTAGTCCACGGGAGAGGTAGAACTCTCCAGAGTCAATTTTATTCATCTTAGGTTTTTTGTGCAACCCTCATACGTATATATACATCAGAATAGGGTGTTGAACGAACCCTATTAGTCTATTTAGGTAACTAATGTAAAATTACTAAAAGCTACCTAAATAAAATATGTCGTCACTTTAACACCCTCCCTCAAACTGATGATGCTTACGTAACATCAGTTTGTGTGATAAAAACCAGTGACAACTAGTTCCGACTGCCTTTGTCAACAAGTCCGCAGTCTGATCTTCTGTTTACAAATAGCTAAGCTGAATTACTCCTTGAACATGCTACCGAATATAATGCACATGTGTCTCAATGTGCTTCGTCCTTTCATATAACACATGATTGTTAGCAATCCTGATCGCACTGGTGTTGTCTCCAAATAACCGCATAGCCACCATGCACACAACTTCCAAATTTCTAGCAAATGCTGCAGCCAGACCAATTCAGAGCTGACTTCATACATGAACCTGTATTCAGACTCCCTGTAGGACTGATAACATCGTATTTGCACATGTTTGCACCTTCGTTCATTGATCATTTTGGCTTGAGTTTTAGCTTTCTTGGACAATTTTACGCTATGTTGTGTTCATTTGTCACATTTCAGGTCCTAGCATGTAAATTGAAGCATAGGCGCAAGTTTCAAGTCAATCGGAGATCATTTGGCAATTCGGGAGAAGAAACACGAGCATGACCTGAGGAAGAATGGAATTCTAACTCATACTATGGACAAATAATCATGGCAGCTTTTCATAAACAGAAAGAGGATGAGACTACGAGCGTCTGGGATCAAACGGCGGCTGATTCATAGTCCGAACGAGGGAGAAACGAAGCATTTAACAGGACCGGAGGAAGAAATACGGGCAGGAGAATTACAACCGTATTTCCCCTCCCATGCCCGTATTTTCATTGCCGAGAGGAGTCTTTGATGCGCTGAAACTTAACAAAAACGCGTGTTTTGGGCAAAATACGGGCATGGAAGAATTACGATCATATTTCATTATTTCTGGCCATATTTCGCCTAGAATCGGGTTTTTGAGGCAGATTCGAGCCAAAGGAAAGGGAGAGCTGGATTTTGGCTCCCAAACACCCAAGGGACGAACCCTAGAGAGAGAGAGCGACTTGGGAACATTCTTGGAGCTATTTTGGAGGATTTCTTCGCCATTGGATCTCGGGAATCAAGCTTGGAGATGGAGATTGAAGATCCATATCAAATATCTGCAGTCTCTCTCTTCTCTATGGAGTAACTTCCCTTCACTTAGGTTTTGAGGAACCCTAGTTCCATGTGTTAGGATCTTTCTTGTATGAAGTTTTGGATGCTATACGGTGTGATTATAATCGATGAGACATGATTTATTGAGTCAATTGAATTCTGATCGAATTCTCTTTATTTCTGCTTTAACCTATGATAGATAGACTCTGATTAGGTTAAGAGAGCTTCCTTGATTGATAGTAGTGAATTGGTTGTGCGAGAATCAGTCAATTCATTGCTTTGTACTGGAATTCATTCCATGTAGTGGAGATTTGTTTGAATCGCCTTAGCAGTCTATTCCGGTGAATGCTAGTCGCCCAGTGGCGGATCCAGGAATTCTACGTAGGGGTGTCCTCTATAAAAATTATATTAAATATTAGAATTAAATTAAATAATTATTAAATATGAAAATATCTAACTAATAAAGTTTCATTAAAAGTTCAGACGTGTTTCATCAAATGATAAAATGCATTTTGTGTTTATACTGCTCAACAAATATCTCTCGACATATCTTACTAGACTAGGATATCCCGTAATTGAGTTTAATCGTTAGGTTTTGAAAATAATTTGAGATAAGAATAATATTTTACTATTATATTTGGATCTAAAACACAATAACAAATGAGTTGTAGCGTAATTGAAAATATATTAACTAATAGTGGCAGTGTCCCAAATTTAAATCACATAAACTACTACTTAAATATTATTTATACCAATACTCAAACTACTACGGGAGATTGGATAATCATTTTCCCAAATTTTAAAGGTGTCCCACTACCCATTAAATATTTTTTTCTCATACGCAAATTACTATCGTAGGTTGAATAATCGTGTTTTCAAATTTTAGGGGTGTCCAGGACACCCCTAACCATGCATGTATCCGCCACTGTAGTCGCCTGCCGGTTATTCTGTCTAAGAGGGCTTGGTCAGCTTAAGAGATTCCAAGCTAATTTAGGATCTTCCGCAGTTTAATCAACAGTAAAACAACCAAAAGGAATTACAACTTGAACCTAACTGAGGAGCTAGGGGGAATCATACCTAAGTGAGTTCCCAACTTGTAATTAGTAGAGTAGTTTAGTAAATCAATCTTTAATCTAGTTTGCTAGATAATGAACTGAAGCTGAGTAATAGTAACTCTAGAGACCCGTGGATTCGATATTTATTACTTGTGCCACTATATTGCAGTCCCTTTCATTGATTACACTTAGCTATTGTTAGTTGTGTCATAGTGTGTCAAGTTTTTGGCGCGGTTGCCGGGGACTTTCTAGAATATTAGGAAACGCAAGAAGTTTGTTATTTTAGCGTTTTTTTCACCCTTGCTTTTCACTTGGGTGTTTTTGTTTTTGTTGGTGCATATCTGAATAATGGATCCTAATGGCTTCTCCAACCAGTGGGGGTATCCACCACCATCTGAGTGGTATTACCCAGAGACTTCCCGGAGCAACCAAGGAGGAGAAGACTATGGAGTCAGGTTTCAGTACCAACCCCCCTACTGCGAAGAACAATCAGACCCTTCGGTATTTCAAGAACAATCTCATTATCTAGAAGAATTCCTCTCACAACTAGAAGGTCCAGCATATCTTGATTTAGCCACAGCCTTCCCGGGCCATCCGGCAGAGCCATGTTACACTCCACAGCCAGATCCAAACTATCACTTGAGGCTTCTCGTGGAGCAGATTGCTCAAGTGCCTGAGAGATCCTTTCCCGAGATGGATCCTCATATCGAGGCTATGGCCCAAACTGACTTCTCCTTTCCCCGTGAAACAGAGGAGACCCTTCGAAGCATAAAGAAGCACATAGAGGTCATTGAGAAAGCTTGTGCACAATTTTCTCAAGACAACCTTTATGCTACAATAAAAGAAGAGAAGGAGGAAGAAGTCCATCATGAGGATGTCGTAGAGCATACAGAAGTTGTCACGAAGAGCTCTCGTGATGATCATGATCAGAAATGTCCTATTGTAGCCGCCCATCCCTTTCTACACCCCACACCGAGCGCTGAAGAGGCGGGCATGAGTCAGGAGATGCAAGCTAATCTTATTGAAAAGATTGCATGGCGACTTGCTCTCCAATCAATGCTAGAAGAAGAAGAGCGAGAAAGGATGAGGAAAGAAGTTGTGGAGGATAACAAAAGTGAATTAGAGGAAATCCTTGATCTTTTCCCAGGGGAGGAATCAAATTCTGAGGAAGGAAAGGGGGTTGAAGAAGCAATTGGCGTCCAGTCTAAGGATGAAGTTGAGGTGGAAGAGGCTTGCACCGGCCATGAGTTACCTGTGATATCTCTACCAAAATTCAAGGAGTTGCTTGGCAAGGACCCATTTGCAGTGTCTCTTTGCCAGGCCAAGGCCACATCGACATCGGTCCCTCTTGGTGGACGCGATGGTGGTCGTTCGATGCTGTCATATCTGATTTGGGACAATGAGACGAGTGAGGAAGAAAAGAAGAGGTCTCACGGGTGGAGACTTCATATTCATCAAGTACACGAGCCTACATCACCTGTCATACCACCTGCTTGTGACTTGAGACTCCACATCATCGACGAGAACCTCAAATTTAAGGAGGTTCTAGCATGGACCGAAACTTAGGAGCCACCATTCGACTCACGACGATAAAGAAGCGCTTGTGGGGAGGCAACCCCACCAAGGTTTGTTTTCCTTTCGTTTGTTTTCGGTTTTTCCACTTGGAACTGTGGTTTCTATCACCCATTGTGTTTTGATGACTCTAGCTCTATGGACTGTTCCCCCTTCCAGTCCGCCCCTGCTGACTGGTCCATTTGCCGCCCCCCGGCAGTCTGTTTTCCCAGTAACATCATTCCCCTTATCTTTCCCTCTGCTCCATTGAGGGCAATGTCGTGCTTAAGTGTGGGAGGGTGGTGTTTATCTATCTTTGACTGCTATATGAGTTTGTGTGCTTGGAGCCTAGTCCACTATCCAAATTTCGATTTGAAGGCTCCAAGTACTGTTCCCTGCAATATCCTGCCCAGTATGCTTTGAATTGACAGTCTTTATGGTGATATGAAACCTAGGGAGGTAGTGTAGCACTATGGAGGATGTTGATGCATTTAAGAAGTCTCATTCCTTCTTCATATTGTGCTGGTTGATTATGTGAATTAGTAATCTTAGGACCCTTGAATTGTGTGGTATTGTGGACTATCTACCTGTCATGGACTCCTGTACCATGTTTTGAAAGAAGGTGCTCAAAAATGTGCTTTAAAATAACGTCTCACGTGCAAAAAGGGCGAAAGTGTGTAAGGGGAGACGGGAATATGTTCCCAATTTCCACCTACTACCTCTAGCCCCCTTACATTTCTTTCCTCACACGAGGCTCTAGACATCCGCTCCCGGAATGGTCGGTAAGAGCCGGGCTACCGCAAAACCTTTGCTAGGCGGGAGCCCCCGTTTTCTAAAAAACAGGTTGGAACCTGTTGATATGACTTGAATCGGACTATCAACAGCTATGACTGGTAATCGGGGGTCTCGCTGTCGAGAGTCCCATATGCTAGTGCAGTAGGTA